CCTTCCGTAGATGCCCAAGAAATCCGACTCGTTGGGCAGAAACGACTCGCCGATGTAAGCCTTCAAGTCTGACATCATCTTCTCCACGTCATTCATGTAGTCTTTCCTGACCTTGATGTCGGAGTAGTCTGCGGAGGAAGGGAGACATAGATGGTGAGGCTTGGGGAAGGGGAGAGAGAGGGAGAGGGAGAGGAAGAGGGAGAAGGAGAGGGAGAGAGAGGGAGAGGGAGAGGGAGGGAGAGGGAGAGGGAGGGAGAGGGAGGGAGAGGAAGGGAGGTGACGTGTTTTAGGTTTTATTTATTCTATGGGTGAGAGAGAGAGAGAGAGAGAGAGAGAGAGAGAGAGAGAGAGAGAGAGAGAGAGAGAGAGAGAGAGAGAGAGAGAGAATGAGAGAGAGAGAGAGAGAGAGAGAGAGAGAGAGAGAGAGAGAGAGAGAGAGAGAGAGATAAAGAGAGAGAGAGAGAGAAAGAGATTGATTTGATTTGATAACATTTATTTACAGAACAGTGTACATGCCCTGCAAAAAGCCAGGGTAAAATACCAAAGCATCTATCCAAACTGGCTGTGCTTCTATTTGTGTAGAGGGCCATTGGTCAAACATTAGTGTTACATACATGCCTGAAGGGCTGTTCTATTATCACAATATTAAAATATCATCTGACTGGTAAAAAACCTTTTACATCACTAATCATGTCAAAGACAAGACCAGTGTCTATAATAAAGTTAATATAATCAACAAGCGCTATTCTGTGAACAGTACTATTTGATCGATAGGATGCAGTCTTTATGCAGCAGAGTAAGTAATGAGTGAGATTATGCGACTTGGGTTCCTTGCACAGTTTGCAATGGTGATATGAAACAGGTTTTGCATCCAAAACTGCATCCTGTACATATTGTATAGTGTACTGATATCCTATGCGTAGCCTAGTTAATGTAACCTGTTGTCTCCGAGACAGTCCGTAATAGACTTTATAGGGCTTGTCTAAATTTAATGTCCCAACAATACTCTCGTAGTGCCAGATAGTACCATGTCCGTCTTTTTTCATTTTTTCATTGGTCCATACCTGATCCTCATAATCTCTAAGACAGTTGATAACTCGTTTTTTTCATTTGATTGAGAGATAGCGGTATTACATAGTATGGATCTTCTTGGGAAAGTGCTAACCTGGCTAATTGATCAGCCCTGTCACATAGTGATATTCCTATATGAGAAGGTATCCAGTATAGTGACACTTGGGTACCCCGTTCTGATAATTTAGAAATTTGGTGAAGGATATTCTTAGTTACCATGTTTTCTGGAGTAAATGCAGTAAGCCTGTTAAGAGCGCCTTGGCTGTCTGTAAAGACAGCCAGGTTTCGCTGCTGTTCACTACCTTTCTTAATGGCATGATATATAGCTACTGACTCGGCATCAGTTGTGCTTGCCCAGTTGGAGATGCACTCACTTTCTTCAAGGTCTATATCAGGAATTAGCACACCAATCCCTGTTGTCCCATGAGGACCAGTGGAGGCATCACAGTAGATTGCAAGTGGGGGCGTACCATGAGGAGGATGTAGAATGCCATCTATATATTCCAAGTAGTGAGCTTTTAGTTCCGTTTTTGAAGCCATAGATTTAGACCCTATTAGTTTATCAATAGAGAAAGAGAGAGAGAGAGATAAAGAAAGAGAGAGATAAAGAAAGATAGCGAAAGAGAGAGAGAGAGACAGAGACAGAGAGAGTGAGAGAGAGAGAGAGAGGAAGAGAAAGAGAGATATAGATAGATAGATGATAGACAGATAGATAGATAGAGATAGATAGATAGATAGAGATAGATAGATAGATAGATAGATAGAGACAGTGAACAATACTTAGGGTGAGGCAAACAAACGAAGAAGAGGTGATGTTGATGGCGATAAAAGGAAGAATCAGGGATACGAGACCTGGTTAGGGCGAGGGAGCGAAAGGGAGAAAGACAGCGAGGAGATAAGAGACAAGGGTTGTGATGGATGGTAAAATTGAGAAAGATAAAATGAAGATACTATGGCTTCTCGAGGGAAGAGGGGGGGGGGTGAGGGAGGGAGGGAGAGAGCTCAGGGGGAGAGGTCAGAGGCTTCATGTGACCCAAGGAAGGGGTTTGGGGTTTGACCTGAGTCGAATATAGTCATTACGACCTGTGACATATATATATATATATATATATATATATATATATATATATATATATATATATATATATATATATATATATATATATGAAATGTGATATAACATAACACACGCATATATGTACATATATATAGGTAAATATATATATATATATATATATATATATATATATATATATATATATATATATATATATATAAACACACACACACACACACGCGCACGCACACATACACACACACACTCACACACGCACGCACTCACACACACACACACACACACACACACACACACACACACACACACACACACACACACACACACACACACACACATATATATATATATATATATATATACATACATACATACACACATACATACATAGACAAAAAGATATATACATGCACTGACAGAGAGAAAGAAAAAAAGATAAATTAAAAGAGAAAAAGAAAAACAAAAGAGATGGGTGGCCTGGAACTGCCCAGATGAAGAGTGAAAGTCGTAATGAACGTCATCCTCTTGTCTTCCAATATTAAACAACTTCGACCAACAACAGTAATGATAATGATAGTAAAAAAAAGAAAGAAATGAAACGCAAATATATGATAAATCAAATTCAAGAAAAGATCAAAGGAAAGAAAATGGAAGAGGAAAATATTACTTGCTCATGAATAATTGACAAAAGCCTTGACTGTTGCATGAGTGATAGGTTTTCAATCGTTGCAACACCACACAAAATAGTTTATCAAGATTGTTTAAGATAGTTTACCAGGATAGTTTATCAAGATTGTTTAAGATGGTTTACCAGGATAGTTTATCAAGATAGTTTAAGATGGTTTACCAGGATAATTTATCAAGATAGTTTAAGATAGTTTACCAGGATAGTTTATCAAGATAGTTTATCTAGATTTATGAAAATAGTTTATCAAGACAGAGGTAAAGAAAAAAGCGGTATGTGCTGTTGATAAAAAATATATAGTGAGATAGTTTCGTATTTTCTTTATGAGAGTTAAATATAATTCAAAAGCGCTAAGATTTATCTATAAAAAAGAGAGAGAGAGAGAGAGAGAGAGAGAGAGAGAGAGAGAGAGAGAGAGAGAGAGAGAGAGAGAGAGAGAGAGAGAGAGAGAGAGAGAGAGAATGAAAACGAAAAAAGAGAAAGAGAATAAATAAATAAAGAAGCATGATATGTAAATTCACATCTCAGTGATTGACAAAGCAAAAACAAAACAAAACAAAACAAATAAAAACAAACTGTAAGCAGAAAAGAGAGGAAACCAAGAAAGAAACAAAACCCATAGACTAATAAAAAAAAAAAAAATCACACAAACATAAGAACAACAACAACATATACATACCCCCCCCCCCCCCAAAGGATCTTCATGTATGTATGTATGTATGTATGTATGTATGTATGTATGTATGTATGTATGTATGTATGTATGTATGTATGTATGTATGTATGTATGTATGTATGTATGTATGTATGTATGTATGTATGTATGTATGTATGTATGTATGTATGTATGTATGTATGTATGTATGTATGTATGTATGTATGTATGTATGTATGTATGTATGTATGTATGTATGTATGTATGTATGTATGTATGTATGTATGTATGTATGTATGTATGTATGTATGTATGTATGTATGTATGTATGTATGTATGTATGTATGTATGTATGTATGTATGTATGTATGTATGTATGTATGTATGTATGTATGTATGTATGTATGTATGTATGTATGTATGTATGTATGTATGTATGTATGTATGTATGTATGTATGTATGTATGTATGTATGTATGTATGTATGTATGTATGTATGTATGTATGTATGTATGTATGTATGTATGTATGTATGTATGTATGTATGTATGTATGTATGTATGTATGTATGTATGTATGTATGTATGTATGTATGTATGTATGTATGTATGTATGTATGTATGTATGTATGTATGTATGTATGTATGTATGTATGTATGTATGTATGTATGTATGTATGTATGTATGTATGTATGTATGTATGTATGTATGTATGTATGTATGTATGTATGTATGTATGTATGTATGTATGTATGTATGTATGTATGTATGTATGTATGTATGTATGTATGTATGTATGTATGTATGTATGTATGTATGTATGTATGTATGTATGTATGTATGTATGTATGTATGTATGTATGTATGTATGTATGTATGTATGTATGTATGTATGTATGTATGTATGTATGTATGTATGTATGTATGTATGTATGTATGTATGTATGTATGTATGTATGTATGTATGTATGTATGTATGTATGTATGTATGTATGTATGTATGTATGTATGTATGTATGTATGTATGTATGTATGTATGTATGTATGTATGTATGTATGTATGTATGTATGTATGTATGTATGTATGTATGTATGTATGTATGTATGTATGTATGTATGTATGTATGTATGTATGTATGTATGTATGTATGTATGTATGTATGTATGTATGTATGTATGTATGTATGTATGTATGTATGTATGTATGTATGTATGTATGTATGTATGTATGTATGTATGTATGTATGTATGTATGTACGTATGTATGTATGTATGTATGTATGTATGTATGTATGTATGTATGTATGTATGTATGTATGTATGTATGTATGTATGTATGTATGTATGTATGTATGTATGTATGTATGTATGTATGTATGTATGTATGTATGTATGTATGTATGTATGTATGTATGTATGTATGTATGTATGTATGTATGTATGTATGTATGTATGTATGTATGTATGTATGTATGTATGTATGTATGTATGTATGTATGTATGTATGTATGTATGTATGTATGTATGTATGCATGCATGTATGGATGTATATGTGTATATATGTATTTATGTATGTACGTACGTATGTATGTATGTATGTATGTATCTACCGGTCTATCTAAGTTCACCTGCATATTCACGTTCACCATCTATACTGCATGTTGCACGACAGTAGATTCCAAGACCTATTTATATAAAATGAGGAGAAATATGTTCGAAATAACGAATCACAAAGGATTCACGCTGGACTAAATTGATTCTGTTCTTGGGGAAGCCTAAGGGGAGGGGGGGGGTGAGCGGGGTGGGTGGGTTGGGAAGGGACGATTGGAGAGGGAGGATGGGGGGGGAGTGAGGATGGAGGGAGTAGAGAAAGGGGAATAGGGAAGGGGGAATGGGGAAGGAGGGAGGGGAAGTGGGAGGGGAAAAGAAGGGAGTGGGGAAGGGGAATGGGGAAGGGGGGAGGGGAAGGGGGGAGGGGAAAAAGAGGGAGTGGAGAAAGGGGAAAGGGGAAGGGGGAGGGGAAAAAGAGGAAGTAGAGAAAGGGGAATGGGGAAGGGGCAAGGGAAAGGGGGAGGGGAAGAGGAGGGAGTGGAGAAAGGGGGGAGAGGGGATCGTAGGCAAGAGGGGAAGCAGAAAAGGGGGTATTGGGGGAAAATAAGGGAGGTACTAATTGTAAGTAACTGCATGTACTTCGCACCTTCAGTACATTAAGTTACCATTACTGTCCTTAAGTATAATGGACGGTCACCTTCAATCGAGTTGCGTAATGGCCATTATATATACATTAAGCTACCTACAGTACATTCCTGAACTTTGAACTTTGAACTTTCTTCCAAAGATGTCTCCACATTATCATTATTTTGACGTGAATTCCACAAACTATTTCTCTTTCTCACTCACTTTTATTTTGCCTTACCATTTACACGTTTGTCCTTTACACTTACCATCCCTTTTAATTTTTTTTTTACCCCTTTTGAACTTTCATTCCAAATTTGTCTCTACGTCATTATTATTTAGACGAATATTCCATAAATCATTCCTCTTTTTTTCTCACCTCTATTTCACCTCATTTTATATTCAGCATCTCTCTTATACAGAAAAAATCGAGAGGACGAGAGAGACTGTATATTGACATTTAACAAAGGATTTAACACGAGATTAGTTTTATACATACTGCCTGTTTTTGTCTGATCGTCTACGTGGGATTATAAGCGCAATCATTAATTTCCCGAAAAAAACAAACAATCATTAGATATATTACTTGCTTAATCAAAGCAAAAATACATGCAGTACATAAAGAAGATAGATATTTCTATAACTGCGAAGAGAGGGAGGGAGAACAAACAACCTTAGACACTAGACCCAAGCAGAATCATTACATTATATATATATATATATATATATATATATATATATATATATATATATATATATATATATATATATATATATATATATATATATATGCATATTTATACACACACACAAATATATCTATCTATATATATGTGTGTGTGTGTATATGTGTATGCACACACACACACACGCACACACATACGTATATAAATACACATGCAAGCCACACCGAAGTCTCTAAATCTCGCATTCAATTCCAACAAAGTGTGTCGGTCGACGAGGCAAAAATGGCGGGAAAAGAAAAAAAACTCACGGTTCATGAGGTCCCTGAACTTCCGTCCTTCCTTTTCTGAAAATTTTTCGACCTTTTTCTCGCCTCCGTTCTGCAGAGATGAAAATAGCGTTGGACTTGATAGATCTAGAAATAGAACTGTCAAAGTGATTATAATAAATAGAAAAACAAATCGGAAGGAGAGGATGCCGGGTTATTTTTTTTTAATCTGCTTTACGTTATCATAATTGGGTTATTATTTTCTTTTTTTTGTCAGTGGATAGATGGATATTTTTTATGATTATATGTAGATGAGGATATATGATCTTAAAGTACGTGGAAAAAATATAAGTTTGAATAGAATTTGTATCTTATAGAACCCACTCAAGTTTACGATACACACTTTCAAACTCAGAGATACAGGCATTTCATTAACATATATTAATCTGCAATTTTCACGTACTTATGATCGTTCACTCTCATATCTCTTTACCTTTACCTGTAGAAAAATAATAAACAACAAATACATTATGAAAAAAAAAAATAAAAAAATCAATGCCCCTTTTTTCAGAAATTTGCGTAAACTAACATATCATTAAACTACCATACCACCATACCATACCTACCATCATGCTACCCTTCTACCCCTCTACCTTACTCCCCTACTACCATACTACTAAATTACCTAACAGTCATACCATGTATATTATGAACTACCCATCTAGCCTCACACTCCCTCATACTCTCTTATACTCCCTCATAGTCCCTCACCCCCCTCATACTCCACTCACACTCCCTCATACTCCCCCTCATAGTCCCTCACACCCCCTCAAACTCCCTAATACCACCCCTCACACTCCCCCCCTACTTCCCTCCCCTCCTCACAC